AGTGCCAAGCCTATGACTTCATATGCCCTAGTCTCTTGTGTACCAGCCCACTAATATTGTGATTCTACTTGTTTCGAATATGTTGAATGCAGATTTTTATGGGCACACTCAGCGAGGCAAGAGTATGTGCTTGAGACGGTGAAAAATAACGCCACGAGTAGTACTAATGGGGTGGCAGGGGTCGAGTGCGATACCTGAACCAGGAAGGTAAGAGGCGGATCCTACGGGGCAAGCAGGTTAATAAGACCTGTTGGAAAAGAATATCGAAGTGACGTGAATAAGCCAGCGTGAAGTTTGAAAGTTCTCATGAAATCCGATTCAAAGTGCAAACTATTATATTTAAGTAGGAAATTGTGAAAGTAAAGGAATGATACGAGGACAGGAGAAATACCATAATTGTTAAGCATACAAACGGTCAAAGGTTCGGATTCAATTTTCTCTGACGAGTTATGGTGTGATGGTAAGAATTGCAAGGCTCGCTGACGATGCCGGCGGAACGTCTGGGAATGTACTACATCCGCGATCACACTGGAAATGATCATGCATATTATGGACTCCGGACCAGGTGTGTTCCTCTAGGTCTTCCTACCAATATGAAAAAATTGCGAAAACAACCATGCCTATACATCTTAATGGGCTTTTTTCGATAAGTTCACTACCCAGTGTCAGGTGGAAAGGTAATGCGCAGAAGAGTTAGGTATTTGAAGCACCATCAAGAAAACATTCAACCCATTCAAAATGATGTTGCTAGAATACACGCATGTATAGAGTGGTTTACTTACAAGTGAATCGTGGAAAAAAATAATGAAAGCTTTACTTGAAGTGACTTTTTCAAGTTTAAACTGTGAAAATTAATAGCGATGAATGCAGATTCAAACATCGAGAGCACAGGCTAGATAAGACATGCGTAGACAAACATCTAAGCAAATGAATCGCTACCAATTAATACAAGAGATTAGCAACGATTTAGGGTCCAACTTTTCAAAAGGTACAGACGTGAAAAATGTCCATGTGTCTGAATATGCATAATTGGTGAATATATATATATGTATATATATAGGTGCGTGTCCGTATGCACATATACATCATCAATAAAGATATGGAAAGAAGGTAACGACGTGTTAACTAGACCGGGAAATTTATAAGAAAGTACAGAAATCGGATGAAGCCTGTGAAGATTCAAAGTTTTTAGAAATTTCTCGGGGCTAAAAAGGAAAAACCGTCATGACGATAAGAAAGTAGTTCTCAGTCAATTTTAATGGCAGCGTATATCTTCTGGAGGAAAATCAATGCGGCATAAACTCCAATAGCCCCAGTAAGAATCCAAGAAGTTATCACCATTAAGAGGCTATACCCAAAGTATATCACGGAGGGCACAAATTCTGTGATCTCAAGCTAAATGAATAAAATAAAAGAGAATGCTAAGTTGGCCTAAAATGAAATTAAAACTATGGATGAAATAATGAATGACCTCCAAAAGTGTAAGTAGGTGAGTTCTTTCAAGTCTTTGTGCCCTAATTAGCGAGTGTAATTATAAGAAGAATCTAAAATATGATCAATAGGATGTATCAATAGGCTGATTGCGTATGAGGGTAAAAAATACGGGTCCTGATCAAAGGCATGGCTACAAGCGTTGCTATATAATATAAACAAAACGGATATATTCATGCTTACTTTAGTCAAGTAGAAAAAAACTGTGTAGCCAAAGACATAGAGAGCCGATCCTCCAGAAGTGATAAAAGTTCGCCACCACCAGCGGTAATCCTAGCGGAGGAAACGTTAATTAAATATTGAAACCAAGACGAGACGAATAAAAATATATTTACCTCGTGACAAAGTTGGAAGTATACAACAATGACAGCTATCTCAGCGACACTAATTACGATGATGATGAAGACTATGAAGAGGAAGCCGAAGAGGTAGTAAAAGTGGCGTTCCCAGATTGCCTAAAAATAAGACTGCTATTAATCGAACAATATGAACATGAAATCGGGAGTAAATTCCGTATGAATTAGAATGATAACGACCCACAGCAAGAAACTTGTTCTAGTCATGCTCCACTTTGAAAGGCTATTCAGTTGAGATATAAAATATTCAAAGCAAAATAACTTAACCTCCTTAAGAAACAACGATCGCAATAAGTATGGATGGTATGCAAATGAGTCGCTACCAATTAATACACCACGGAGTTGTATAATCAACAACGAAATAATTCAGATAAGCAAACTTCAAAAGGAAGTAACAATTAGCTCCCGCCCGAGATTGGGTCAAAGAACAGTTAGTTGGCTTGTTCTACCCCACCAGCATATTCAGCACTAATAGATACTACTGATACGGCAAATATACGAAGATCTTGGCAATGCGGTGAGGCATTGCACGCTATTAAAAATAAGTATATATGCATGTAGACTGAACGAAACAGCCACAGCTCGCAATTTGATTGATAAACTAATGATGTAAGCCTCGAAGAGAAAGCTATATCGAGGCGGGGTTAGAAGTTATGTAATCGATAAGAAAGGAATGAGGCTGTCTCTAAATAAGACAGGCAAACGTAACAAAAGGAATATAATTACCGTGAATATATAGAAAAGTTCAATAAAAGCAGCTCCGAAAGGCACCATTCCAGTAAAAAGGGTTCTGAAATTGAGTAAAAATCTGAGGTAAATGTGATCTTAATGAAAATATAATCAAAAATAATTGGATAGTAATGACGGAGGGATTAATAGAGCATAGAAATAAAGTGCTAACGAGATAAAAAGGTTATGATGCCATTTTTGATCCGGAACTGCGCGTGGTATCTGGTTCGTGCGCACCGGCTGTTCGTATGGACGTTTTCGATAGCCGAAATAAAAACCGAAAAAAACAAGGGGGACAGAAATACACCACCAGAGTGCAAATAGAGCCAACATAGTGGTGAAAGGCACTGATGCTGAGGACCCTTTTGCAATGAGGAAGAAGTTCAGCACAAAACCAACGCCAAATACAATGGTTGGATATAGCATTCCAGTCTAAAATAAATAAAATTGTGGATACATTAAAATAGATACATGAACAGATTGATTTTAACTAAATGGCGCTAAGTAATAATTTGGAATAAAGCTTGGAGCTATATATATATATATATATTACAGGTAATAAAATGAAAAAATACTCGTAATTATTTAATTGGCCTATGATAGGACTAATGCTCGTAAAAAAGTTCACGAAGTGGGATGGGAAAAGGAATTTGGTTATGGGGTCCAGAAGTCTGAGGGAGAGTAGACCAATAAATGACTTTGATGGGGCCTCAAATCGAGGGATTACAAACAGGCAATCAAATTGATTTTCGTGTGTAACATGGAACAAAGCTAAGATGAGTGGAGGTCTAAATGAAGTTGTGATTCAGGCCCAGAGGTTGATGGACAAGGATGCGGTGCTAGAAGCTAGGTCAGTGGAGAAGGTAGGTGACGCAAGAGCTAGGCGCAAAGTTGATTCAAATTTACTTCATACTTCACTTTCATAACTTGTAACCGTGCTGATGGCTTCTCATGCTGAGTATGCCAACGAAACGTTCGGGGATATAACAAGTTAACGATTTAGCGCTGAAAGTATCATGGTTGCTATGGGAGAGGAGGATAGGATCAGCATAACCTACTGCCGCTGCGACCAAGCTGCGAAAACGAGGTCAAACCAATGATATATAAGAAAGGATAATATGACACCATTCTGGTCTTCATATATATAAATAAATCAGAATAATTCTTAATTGGTGCATAAGCACATTCATTATCTGATTGAAATCATTTGAATCAGATAAAATTAAGGAAATTAAATTCCAGGGTAGCTTTAATGCTATGGTAAAATGAAGAAACACATTTTGAGAAAGTCGTGTATAATTAACAAAATCCGGGAATGTGCCAAATCCATGGTTAGACGCAGGAAATTATGATGACTTCCATAGTAGTGGATTTCGGACAAGGAGTGTCCAACTA